TATGAATATTAGTTTTCAGCTGCTCTTATACATCATTTAAGCAAAATCTCAGGAAGATAAATAGTTTTGGTGACGTCATGCGAAAACCAGCTATTGGTTATATACTCGATAAACAACCATTACCAAAAGTAGAAAATTGAAAACTAGAATACCTGACTCCTTTGGACGAATATATCTCGTCCGGCTCGAATGAAATCAGCGGCATCAAAGCATGGTTCAAATTCAGTGGTCACAAACTTTCCTTGGGCGGCCAACCTATGACGATCCTCAACAGTGCGTATTGGATAGTCCTGGAAATTCACGACAACATATTTATATTTCTTTCACATTCTTCAAGAGCGAGCAAAGTGAAAGCAAGTGAACTGGACAAACAAGTGATTTGAGATTAAAGTATATCTGATTGAGAATAGTCGATCATCTTTGGATCTTTCTCAATGACAAAAATATAATGAAATATCTCTATTTGTGTCTAGGCCTTAACTGGCGATGCATTAATTATAGCAACTATCCTGATGGGCGCGAGTTTTTGTTTGTCATAGACACTAATTTTACACAGCTGTGTTTTAACTGCAGCTAAATCAGACACAATCCTCTTTTCTACTATAAGTTTCGTGACGACAGATTTGGCTTACATTTATATATACCTGTTATTTTTTAAGGAAATATTGCAGGCGAACGTTAGACAACACGAGCAAGAACGTTTTGACATGACGAAATTCATTTTTCTCTCGTTTGCAAGTGCTAATGATTTAAAATTGAAGTTTGCGTTTTGCAAGGACTCTAGCAAAAGCAGACGTTTTTTAACGTTAGCCACGCAGCGCGCTAAGTAAAAATTCCCAAATCCCTAGCCCCGCCCTTGCTTTCGTTTAAAGATATCTTCATGACATTATGCGAACTTTACAAATTCTGGATGAAACACGACAAATTTATGCTCTTAACCTGATCATACAAGGCGTCACACATAAGAGGTTTGGGTGCAGTCGTCCATTTGGCACCTCCTTTGAAGTACTCCTTTAGAAGGGGCCTGTAGGCGCGGTATTCAAAGAAACGAGACCGCCATGCCATGGGCGCCTCAATGATTTCGTCACCGACCACAAGCAGGATGTCACGTGGCATGGCTGCATACAGCCCGCATGACTGAAAATCTGGAGTTTTGAAAACCTGTAAGGACCAGTTAAACAGATATTGATTGACAACGAAATGAGTATGAACTAAAGGCGGAAACATAAATTACAGCATAATTCGCAAAGCCGAGCTATCAAACTCAGTATACGTAAGGGCGCATCGTTCCATTGGTGGAGTTACCAAACTCCTTAGCTGCGCATCAGATTCCTGCACCTCGAGCAACTGTAAGCTCTCTTCGTGCTCTCCAAACTTGCACGCACACTAACAGCATCAATCAGCTGTCAAATGATGATCGCACCATACAAAAATACAAGATCATTTGAGAAAGAGTGGATTGGTGAAAGAAACACGGGATTTATCTGTTTTACTAAGCCTTTATTTCCTCTAATTACCTCTGAGAAGTTAATCACTTCAGGACGGCGCACTGTGACTCCTTCATGTCGCAAAATGTTACAGAATTCTTCAATCTCCACTTGCGCTTTCTTAAGGTGCTCTTTTGGAAAAGATTGGCCTCCAAACTGGCCGAAAAATGGCCAGTTTTTCTCATAGGTGTTTGCCTTGACTTCTACGGAAAACTGTGGTACAGTAGCCCCTGAAATAAATAAACAAAACTGTATGAGTCGCCCAAAAGAACGATTGTTTATAAATAACTTTTGCCACACCTTAAAGATGCTAATGAATAACAAAAAATGCGCAGTCTTTCTTGCCCTTGTCAATGAAAAGTAAATGAGCAAACAGTTCCTCGATGTAAGGAATTATAAGAAATGGGCCGAATTACGACTTATTAATCGAGTTTGGTCGGTCTGTATGGGAGAATCTTGACCGAGGTCGTGAGTACAGACCGAACGCAGTGAGGTCTGTACACAAGACCGATTTTTATTATATGGCAAAAAAGAAAAATTTAATTCGTTTAATGTAACTGGTTTGTACTAGCCGGCATTTTGCTTGCGAACGGCGATGAGCTGAACTTAATTCTGCCAAAGTCTGCTCGTCATCTTTACTTTTCTTTTCTCATCAGGCTTTCTAGCACTTCCATAAATAAATATCGTCAGAAGAAAATAGTCCATAGTTTTGCATTTCAGTTTGCAACTTTTTCATTACAAAACATTACCGGACTAGATGCCGTTCTAGGTGGGAAAATCTAGACCGCTTTCAATATCGATTTCAGCCAATCAAATTCGTGAATTCGGTAGCTCCCAGTCCTTGTGATACAGCCATATAATAAATACCAAATGAATATTAATGGCCAAGGTTGGCGAGATTAGCGCATCTGTAGTCATTGAGAAAAAAACATTTATAAACACGAAAGCAGAACTCTCACTAATAATAAGCCGTGTGTAAGTCGAGTCGAAAAGCTGTCGAAATAGATTTAGATAACCTACCGAGTTTAGCTTTGCTGAAAAGCGTTGAGTACTGTTTTAATTCTTCGTTACATTTGTATATAGTTTTGCGAGGAGGTTTATTTATAGGTATTTGCCTAGGCAAAATAGCGCCCAAATCTTAGAGAGTTCACCTTCAACACGTCCCACGATGACTTCTTCAAGAGGATCCCACTCGTTGTACGAACACACTGGGCTCTTCAGCTCCTCAGACTGGGATTTGTCCAAGTCATCATCAAAGTAGTTATTGGATGGATAACTCACTTGTTGCGTTCTGGCCCGTGTCTCCACTTTGCTTCTCATAAGCGTCGAACATGCTCGCCAAAGCTGCAAAACATTACCAAGTTCCTTGGGTGCTTAAGATTTGTTTATGAGCAAAATTTGTCCCTCCAAAAGATAACTACAGATGACGTACAAACATTTACACACCATAGCACAACGAAAAACTTCTTACACAAAATTTCACAAGAACGAAAACTTTGCTTGCGGTTGCTTTTTTTTTTTTAATAAAAATACGACTTCCTACGTTTCGTCTAAAAACGGTTTTTAATAGCCGCCGTCCTCGATCGAATAAGTGCTGCTTCAAAATGACGAAAAAATTAATTAATAAACGTCACGGTGCTTTTTCGAGTAACAACGATAACATTGAAGATGTGAAGTTATGGTTCCATCAATTCCAAACGGGCATTTGCCTTTCTGTTCCATAACAAATACTTCACGGTGAGGTTAGGCTTACAGAAGTGTGCAAATGCCCCTCCTATAGGACACGTCAAAAATACATTTGCTCTGAAATAATATGGACGTTTTTATTCCTAACAGATACGAGGTTGTTTTCATTAAGGACTTAACGAGTGGTTCCAAGCGAAACAATGAGTTTTGTTTCAACGAGACTACAATGGGCTGGTCTCATATGATCGGTACCACCACTGTGATCGCAGAAAAAAAGTTCAACTGTGGGGAGTGTTGCAATCATACAGAGCAACTCTTCAGCGACATTAGCGATTGCGACCATGAACGCTGAGGTGAACCGGAGTTCTATCCCGACTATCGAAGCTTCAGAGATTGTAGAGACCGTTGCAATGATAACAATACCACAATGCACTGCGTCGTTATTCGATCCAGGGGCCCGTTTCTCAAAAGCCCCGGAAACTTTTCGGGCCCGCAAAGCCATTTTTAGTTCACCGGTATTTAAAGACAGAGAGATGTATACGCCTGATACTTCTTGTATGAAGAGAGTCTCTGTTTATATTAAGAATATGTGCATAAAACAGCTCTGAAGTCATAAGGTTTGAGATTTTGCTACGGCTTTTCGGGTGCGAAAACTTTTCGGGACCTTCGAGAAACGGGCTCCAGGGGTCCGTTTCTCGAAAGCCCTGGAAACTTTTCGGGCCCGTAAAGCCATGTTTAGTTCATCTGTATCTAAAAACGGCGAAGTATATACGCCTGAAACTTCTTGAATAAAACAGCTCTGTAATCGTAAGGTTCGAGATTTTGCTATGGCTTTCCAGGCCCGAAAAGTTTCCGGGACTTTCGAGAAAAGGGCCCCAGGCCCTTTTCGAATTCGCGGCGTACATATGAAAACTGGTCACCGCGAGAGACGTCCAGTAGGAAACGGCAAACAAATACTGTTTTGTAGGTCATCGTGAGACTCCATATGAAATTAGCATTTATAGCGTGTTTCACAGCATGCTTGTTTCAGTGATTTTTATGTTGGGGTTGTTTTCCATTGTCTTAATAATAATAATAATATTTCTGACAATTCGTGTTCACCTGAAATTGTAGAAGCTTGTAGAACTTGTTTTGTTCCTTCACATCGTTATGTTAGAAAACTCTACGATATCTTGGTCAACAAATCATAATAAAATCGCGACCTCGGCGCTCGAGCGCGTGAGCAACGCAGAGCACGATCTTTAGCTCGAGCGAGGAACCAACAACGAGAAGCGAACGATTCTGAGAAAGTTTGACTAACAATAACACAAAGAAATAATAACCGATCCTATTCGAAAAATACAAACACTTCTTACATAGAGAATATTTACTTAGCCTGGTGAAACTAAAATCTGAAGTAGGTCTTAACTTATCTGACAATTAACGACTCAAAAAAGTTCATAAAGAATAGGAAGCCAAAGGAATTTCTAAATAGCTGATTATGACCGGAAAAGAACTCAGACTCGGCCCAAGAGCGAGTTTCGCAGTCAAGGATTTTGTCGTAGACGCTTGCCAAGAGATTTCACTTACCACATTTGAGGGATTTAGCCTCACAAGAAAGAGATCAGTCACCTTTCTAATTTTGTCACACATTTGTATGCAATTGTACCACCGCTACACTACCATATGAATATTTATCGTGCAGTTGTGCACAGCATGAAGTTATTGTTTTTAATATTCATGCAATCAACAATTTCTAGAATAAAGCGTATTGATATTGATAAAAATATGATAGAAAGTGATGAAAACCCCTCGCTGCTTAGAAACACAAACGCGCCAGATTTCTAAAAAGTCGATGGTCGTATAGGAAAATCGATTCAGATAACCCTGATCGTTTATACATAAAACAAAGATTCTGTCTGGTATCGATAAAATCTTTAAAATCGGCCTTTTTGCTTCTTGAGAAACCACAAAGAAATTGTTGATTGTGTTACAAACGGTGTACACCTGTCGTTCCTCCAAACACACTTCCATGCGGTTTTAAAATTGTACTGGGTGATAAAATTCTTTGTCGTCCTCTTAGTTTGACAAATACCCCGTCCCCGGCTAGGCAGAGCCTTAAGGGCCCCACTGTGGGGACTGACAACCCCTTCAAATGTCCGAAAAATACCCTAGGAGATGAAATCGACGTTCTCATTTCTATTGTAAATCTCAACAGATCTATTCTAGAAGCAAAACCAAATGGACATATCTGAAATATGATGACTGTTAGGCCTAAATCTTCATTTTAACCTATTTTACTTCCTTCCACAACTTTTAGTTTGCGACATTTAGTGAGGATTTTAAAACATTCACTTCATTTAAAGGCTATTAAAATAAACGTCTGTCGAGAAAACACGGGAATAGTTGAGATGACCAATTGAAATTTTATGCAAGCCAGCAGTGTGTCTTGGCTATGAGATTAGCTTTGTATTGTAATGTTAAATGCTACCAATGAAGCTGTCCTCCTCGCTCCAAAACGATTTCTTTTGCTCTACATTCTTTTGACAAGATGTATTGTCTAAGTTCGCGGTTGGTCTCACTGTTTACAAAATAACATAGCCGTTTTCTTTTTCAAAACGCAGTATCTATATGACTTATACTGCCTTGAATGGTCTTTAATCAAGAAAAATTTTCACAGATTTTCCAAGGGAATCCCTATCAGCAACCATTTTTCGAGATTCTATTTTGGTTTAAAATCCCGAGCGATCCAAAAAATTAAGCTTAAACGTATTTTGATTCTGTGGCTGCGAAATTTTGTAGCTTGGCTTACCATAATAAAAATCGCAAGATTAAGCACAAAGCCAATCGCTTGACACTTCTAAACTGAGAGATGAAGAATTCTCAAGAGGCCGGTTTGAATGTCACTTTCCATCAATACATTTCTGTTAGACAGTTGTGACTGTCGGGCCTCCATTAGAACAAGCCATCAAAATGTCGACGGAAAGTCTTATTCAAACCTCTCGTAATTCCAAAAGTTATTTTAATTTAACTAACGGATTTCCGGGCTTGAGCAGAACATACGTTTTCTATAAATGTATTTACTGTTCATAACTGAATGAATAAATAATATGTTCAGTCTGGGCCGTCAGCTGAAGTCACGGCATCAACTGAAGCTAGTTTATTATACGCTACACTTGACACGTTCAAAATCTTCTCGCTAATGTTCAACGTTTTTCAGCAAAAACTGTATAGAATATGGCCAAGTGGGCATTTATTTGTGGTTATGGTTAACTCTGGAAAAAACTGCCAGAAATTAAACAAAGCCTTTTGAAATGAAGACATGAAAATAAGGTTACCGCAACGAGATCGCGGGAATCGGTTTTGAAGGAATCTTCCCCCCAGAAACAACAGTTTTGGCATGTAGTTTGACATCAAAAGGTAGATTTCTTGACCATGAATGAAGTATTTGAACCAACTGGCTTTCTGGAGAGTAAAAAGTTGACACTTACCACTCCAAACCTAACGGCTTCACGACCACGGCAGCCACCTTTGACTATCCTCACATTTAACATGTTGTTTTCGGTTGGATCTAAAATCAAACAAAAATCTTGTTTAGCCTACATGTATGCTAATGTTGGCGACACTTGATTTTGTAAGTCACACCACGTTTGCATTACCTGTACCTTCTCATTCAGATTCGAGTGCCAAGGAAATCAAATTACCCAAAATTCCACGAACTTTTACAATTTTTTTTTTCTCAACCACACTTGACGTCGTTTCGCATAAGTTCTTCTTCGCGTACGTCAGCAAGATGAGGAAAACGATTTCTATTGGTTGATGTCACGCTAAGAAATGCTGACGTGACAATCTCACTGGAAAGAGCGATGTAACGAAAGCTGGTTACGTCGCTAAAGCTTTTCTCTCTTTATTTCTCAATCCCCGTTACGAATCCCCATGACGGCATTTTCGTTTCAGTCGCGGAAACAAAACAGAAAGCCTCTAGGACCAGGGTAAATGTAATCATGATTTGGATTCTTAACTACGAAATGGACTTTTAAAGTTCTGTTAATTTTTACTCCAATAAAAATAATGGTGATGGTTGGTTTCACTGGTTTCAGACGGTCATCATTATTAGATGGCATCAACCAGAATCCCGTTCCTTTAAGATTTTGTTCTTTTTTTGCTGCGTGAAACTCACGATGTAGCCATTGTAAACTTGCTTATAGCATTAATGGGGCTTTAGAATATAGCGGCTGTATACCCGTTATTGGACTTGGAGCTCAGTGACCTGAGCATTATTATTTTTCATAGATGAACTAGCAATTTTTCTAGACTTCAAGGGTGTATTATTTTGGGAAAAAACCTGGAACACCATCTTCTATTTGGTACTAAATAATTCTGGATGTGATCAGTTTCCATTTTGTACCGGCCACAATCCCTTGCGTTCCATCTGTCCCTTTTCGTTCGAAGACACTTCGAACATGACGAATCTCGACAAACATGGATAGCCTTTCAAGACATTTGTCTTTGCCAAAGCACCTACATAATATTTGGAGGTGACAAGCGACAGCACCTATTACACTGAACAAGAATCTCCTTCGATAATGGCATCGAAACATTAAAGTTTGCCTACGTCTGGGTCTCACCAACAACACGGCAATGATTATTATTGGACGTCAGCAGTTACTTGGAGATCCTCGATCCGTAGCGAAGTAAATGCAAACATGTAAAATTAGCTCTTAAATTTCTTCCGCCTTACTTAGCGTTACTAGTAAATTTGTACGAGCTGTTTTATCTTCAAGCGCTACTATTGATTCGATTTAACAGAAATGAAACGAAAACTAAGACAGTAGGGACAAAAAGGTCAAAACTGGCAATGAAATAAATATTTGAAGTTTGCGTCAAAATGTTATGTTTTCGACGCCAGCTGATTTCAATTTGCCGAACGCTTCCATCAGTCATACTAAGACGTACAAAAAAAAGTACTTATTATATTGTGTGTGACTGTAAAGAATTGAAATGCAGGTTGGGCAATAAATACCTGTTTGTTATTTATTTTCCGGCTGTGCCAAATGCCCCTTTCTACTATTGAAACAAACCCAACTCAGTTTAAAGTTATGGAAGGCTATGGAGCGACTGGTTCGGAGTCCGGCTTGAGTCGAACTAAATTCGACGAGATGGAATATCTCAAATGACTCGGAATACATTTGCAATCGATAAGCGGTTACTAAATTTTTGCTGTGACTGAGCAATATGTCGATAAAAGCAAATTCAATCGCAAGATTGCCTGTCTTCAAAATGGTTTTTGTTGACGCGAAATCTTGAGCTATTATCACGAAGGAAACAACAAAAATTAATTACCACTGAAAGCAATTGTCTCCTATAGTAATTTCTTCGCGATCGTGTTCTGAGAGCTAACCGCGAACTCGGGTAAAAGATGGATTTTTTTTCCTGCTGTATTTTGTTCTCTTTGGTTTGAACAGTCAGGCCACTCATCTTTTAATACATCAACGAACGCTGTTTTATTGAAAGTACGTTTCAGTAATTTATGCACTAATAAAAATCAGCCGATGCTCGCGACGAAGCCTGCCAATCTTATCGTGTTTTGCAACACGGCACCTGTGCCTGAACAAACTGATTCAAAGGTTGCTCTTCTGTTGAGCGGCGTTTGAATTCAACCGGATATGTTTCCGTTTGATTCGACATCTAACTGGAAACCCAGTTCGAAATCAGGCTAACTCGAAAAATAGTTATCTTCAGAAATAGCTGTGAATAAGATAAACATATTTCACTCCTAGTCTATCTTAGCTAGAGAGAGACGAAAAAAATCACTTTTTTCGTCACATCCATGAGATCTGTGAGACGAACCTTGGTTGATCGGATCTGCGCTGAGGTCACTTATCACTATAGCGATACCAGCGAAACGCAAGTTACCATATGCCGTAAAATTCAAAGTGTGGACAGGCGGTGAATTTTGAACTACGTAAAATGCAGACATAAAAAATATATATACATATAGTATAGACCTAGCCAAGAAAGGAAAGCTAACAGCGAGCAAACCAGAGCAAAAGCTTACCGCAAGCAACCCAGAGTGAAAGTTAACCGCAAGCAAGCAGAAGTGAAAAGCTAACAACTGAACCGAAACAAACCGCTGTTCAACAAATACTAAATTCCTTGTGTAAGCATCANATGGCTTTCCAGGCCCGAAAAGTTTCCGGGACTTTCGAGAAAAGGGCCCCAGGCCCTTTTCGAATTCGCGGCGTACATATGAAAACTGGTCACCGCGAGAGACGTCCAGTAGGAAACGGCAAACAAATACTGTTTTGTAGGTCATCGTGAGACTCCATATGAAATTAGCATTTATAGCGTGTTACACAGCATGCTTGTTTCAGTGATTTTTATGTTGGGGTTGTTTTCCATTGTCTTAATAATAATAATAATATTTCTGACAATTCGTGTTCACCTGAAATTGTAGAAGCTTGTAGAACTTGTTTTGTTCCTTCACATCGTTATGTTAGAAAACTCTACGATATCTTGGTCAACAAATCATAATAAAATCGCGACCTCGGCGCTCGAGCGCGTGAGCAACGCAGAGCACGATCTTTAGCTCGAGCGAGGAACCAACAACGAGAAGCGAACGATTCTGAGAAAGTTTGACTAACAATAACACAAAGAAATAATAACCGATCCTATTCGAAAAATACAAACACTTCTTACATAGAGAATATTTACTTAGCCTGGTGAAACTAAAATCTGAAGTAGGTCTTAACTTATCTGACAATTAACGACTCAAAAAAGTTCATAAAGAATAGGAAGCCAAAGGAATTTCTAAATAGCTGATTATGACCGGAAAAGAACTCAGACTCGGCCCAAGAGCGAGTTTCGCAGTCAAGGATTTTGTCGTAGACGCTTGCCAAGAGATTTCACTTACCACATTTGAGGGATTTAGCCTCACAAGAAAGAGATCAGTCACCTTTCTAATTTTGTCACACATTTGTATGCAATTGTACCACCGCTACACTACCATATGAATATTTATCGTGCAGTTGTGCACAGCATGAAGTTATTGTTTTTAATATTCATGCAATCAACAATTTCTAGAATAAAGCGTATTGATATTGATAAAAATATGATAGAAAGTGATGAAAACCCCTCGCTGCTTAGAAACACAAACGCGCCAGATTTCTAAAAAGTCGATGGTCGTATAGGAAAATCGATTCAGATAACCCTGATCGTTTATACATAAAACAAAGATTCTGTCTGGTATCGATAAAATCTTTAAAATCGGCCTTTTTGCTTCTTGAGAAACCACAAAGAAATTGTTGATTGTGTTACAAACGGTGTACACCTGTCGTTCCTCCAAACACACTTCCATGCGGTTTTAAAATTGTACTGGGTGATAAAATTCTTTGTCGTCCTCTTAGTTTGACAAATACCCCGTCCCCGGCTAGGCAGAGCCTTAAGGGCCCCACTGTGGGGACTGACAACCCCTTCAAATGTCCGAAAAATACCCTAGGAGATGAAATCGACGTTCTCATTTCTATTGTAAATCTCAACAGATCTATTCTAGAAGCAAAACCAAATGGACATATCTGAAATATGATGACTGTTAGGCCTAAATCTTCATTTTAACCTATTTTACTTCCTTCCACAACTTTTAGTTTGCGACATTTAGTGAGGATTTTAAAACATTCACTTCATTTAAAGGCTATTAAAATAAACGTCTGTCGAGAAAACACGGGAATAGTTGAGATGACCAATTGAAATTTTATGCAAGCCAGCAGTGTGTCTTGGCTATGAGATTAGCTTTGTATTGTAATGTTAAATGCTACCAATGAAGCTGTCCTCCTCGCTCCAAAACGATTTCTTTTGCTCTACATTCTTTTGACAAGATGTATTGTCTAAGTTCGCGGTTGGTCTCACTGTTTACAAAATAACATAGCCGTTTTCTTTTTCAAAACGCAGTATCTATATGACTTATACTGCCTTGAATGGTCTTTAATCAAGAAAAATTTTCACAGATTTTCCAAGGGAATCCCTATCGGCAACCATTTTTCGAGATTCTATTTTGGTTTAAAATCCCGAGCGATCCAAAAAATTAAGCTTAAACGTATTTTGATTCTGTGGCTGCGAAATTTTGTAGCTTGGCTTACCATAATAAAAATCGCAAGATTAAGCACAAAGCCAATCGCTTGACACTTCTAAACTGAGAGATGAAGAATTCTCAAGAGGCCGGTTTGAATGTCACTTTCCATCAATACATTTCTGTTAGACAGTTGTGACTGTCGGGCCTCCATTAGAACAAGCCATCAAAATGTCGACGGAAAGTCTTATTCAAACCTCTCGTAATTCCAAAAGTTATTTTAATTTAACTAACGGATTTCCGGGCTTGAGCAGAACATACGTTTTCTATAAATGTATTTACTGTTCATAACTGAATGAATAAATAATATGTTCAGTCTGGGCCGTCAGCTGAAGTCACGGCATCAACTGAAGCTAGTTTATTATACGCTACACTTGACACGTTCAAAATCTTCTCGCTAATGTTCAACGTTTTTCAGCAAAAACTGTATAGAATATGGCCAAGTGGGCATTTATTTGTGGTTATGGTTAACTCTGGAAAAAACTGCCAGAAATTAAACAAAGCCTTTTGAAATGAAGACATGAAAATAAGGTTACCGCAACGAGATCGCGGGAATCGGTTTTGAAGGAATCTTCCCCCCAGAAACAACAGTTTTGGCATGTAGTTTGACATCAAAAGGTAGATTTCTTGACCATGAATGAAGTATTTGAACCAACTGGCTTTCTGGAGAGTAAAAAGTTGACACTTACCACTCCAAACCTAACGGCTTCACGACCACGGCAGCCACCTTTGACTATCCTCACATTTAACATGTTGTTTTCGGTTGGATCTAAAATCAAACAAAAATCTTGTTTAGCCTACATGTATGCTAATGTTGGCGACACTTGATTTTGTAAGTCACACCACGTTTGCATTACCTGTACCTTCTCATTCAGATTCGAGTGCCAAGGAAATCAAATTACCCAAAATTCCACGAACTTTTACAATTTTTTTTTTCTCAACCACACTTGACGTCGTTTCGCATAAGTTCTTCTTCGCGTACGTCAGCAAGATGAGGAAAACGATTTCTATTGGTTGATGTCACGCTAAGAAATGCTGACGTGACAATCTCACTGGAAAGAGCGATGTAACGAAAGCTGGTTACGTCGCTAAAGCTTTTCTCTCTTTATTTCTCAATCCCCGTTACGAATCCCCATGACGGCATTTTCGTTTCAGTCGCGGAAACAAAACAGAAAGCCTCTAGGACCAGGGTAAATGTAATCATGATTTGGATTCTTAACTACGAAATGGACTTTTAAAGTTCTGTTAATTTTTACTCCAATAAAAATAATGGTGATGGTTGGTTTCACTGGTTTCAGACGGTCATCATTATTAGATGGCATCAACCAGAATCCCGTTCCTTTAAGATTTTGTTCTTTTTTTGCTGCGTGAAACTCACGATGTAGCCATTGTAAACTTGCTTATAGCATTAATGGGGCTTTAGAATATAGCGGCTGTATACCCGTTATTGGACTTGGAGCTCAGTGACCTGAGCATTATTATTTTTCATAGATGAACTAGCAATTTTTCTAGACTTCAAGGGTGTATTATTTTGGGAAAAAACCTGGAACACCATCTTCTATTTGGTACTAAATAATTCTGGATGTGATCAGTTTCCATTTTGTACCGGCCACAATCCCTTGCGTTCCATCTGTCCCTTTTCGTTCGAAGACACTTCGAACATGACGAATCTCGACAAACATGGATAGCCTTTCAAGACATTTGTCTTTGCCAAAGCACCTACATAATATTTGGAGGTGACAAGCGACAGCACCTATTACACTGAACAAGAATCTCCTTCGATAATGGCATCGAAACATTAAAGTTTGCCTACGTCTGGGTCTCACCAACAACACGGCAATGATTATTATTGGACGTCAGCAGTTACTTGGAGATCCTCGATCCGTAGCGAAGTAAATGCAAACATGTAAAATTAGCTCTTAAATTTCTTCCGCCTTACTTAGCGTTACTAGTAAATTTGTACGAGCTGTTTTATCTTCAAGCGCTACTATTGATTCGATTTAACAGAAATGAAACGAAAACTAAGACAGTAGGGACAAAAAGGTCAAAACTGGCAATGAAATAAATATTTGAAGTTTGCGTCAAAATGTTATGTTTTCGACGCCAGCTGATTTCAATTTGCCGAACGCTTCCATCAGTCATACTAAGACGTACAAAAAAAAGTACTTATCATATTGTGTGTGACTGTAAAGAATTGAAATGCAGGTTGGGCAATAAATACCTGTTTGTTATTTATTTTCCGGCTGTGCCAAATGCCCCTTTCTACTATTGAAACAAACCCAACTCAGTTTAAAGTTATGGAAGGCTATGGAGCGACTCCTTCGGAGTCCGGCTTGAGTCGAACTAAATTCGACGAGATGGAATATCTCAAATGACTCGGAATACATTTGCAATCGATAAGCGGTTACTAAATTTTTGCTGTGACTGAGCAATATGTCGATAAAAGCAAATTCAATCGCAAGATTGCCTGTCTTCAAAATGGTTTTTGTTGACGCGAAATCTTGAGCTATTATCACGAAGGAAACAACAAAAATTAATTACCACTGAAAGCAATTGTCTCCTATAGTAATTTCTTCGCGATCGTGTTCTGAGAGCTAACCGCGAACTCGGGTAAAAGATGGATTTTTTTTCCTGCTGTATTTTGTTCTCTTTGGTTTGAACAGTCAGGCCACTCATCTTTTAATACATCAACGAACGCTGTTTTATTGAAAGTACGTTTCAGTAATTTATGCACTAATAAAAATCAGCCGATGCTCGCGACGAAGCCTGCCAATCTTATCGTGTTTTGCAACACGGCACCTGTGCCTGAACAAACTGATTCAAAGGTTGCTCTTCTGTTGAGCGGCGTTTGAATTCAACCGGATATGTTT